ATCTCATTGTCCCTTCTGTCTCTTTAATTAGTGCCCGTCCTCCCCCCTCTCCCCCTCGCTCCAGTGTCCCCCCTTCCCATCTCCTTTCAGCACTTGGTTTGCAGCGCTCTGTTATTTCACCTTTCACGTGCGCCGCCTCCTTCACCCAGGCCCATCTGACACTTCTGCCTTACACTCATCATGGAAACATAACATTTAAATACAAATAGAACAGGGAATAATTTAACCCCTATTTGCACTGGGGAAGGTGCCAAGGCTGCATATAAACACTGCAGGGAGGTCTGTAGATGTTGTATATCTAGCTGACAAGTTGCGTTTCTTCACCACAGTGCCTTGCAGCCAGATTTTCCTGACAGGCATGAGCCTCCACTCCTGGCAGAGTGGTCAAAAAAGAGGGAAGCCACAGGGGTATTGGAAATGTGACAAAAGGGACACCTCTGGGAACCCTGATTTGCCATTGCAGTGGTCTTTCTCTCCCTTCCTCTTCTCCTGTGAGGATCTTGGAGTGCTACCTTCTGTCACTGCTGTGATTTGCTTATGGCAAAATGGGGCAGACCTGAGAGGAACCTAATTTTCAGTGTTATCAGAATTTGCCAGCAAAAACCTCCTTGGGTCTCCTTTGTGTCACCACACATAAAAATATCCACCCATGCTTGGACATTTCCATGGCAAAGCGGGCACGATGGACTCAGTTTGTGGAAAAGACTGATAATGGGGTGTACAATAACGAGCGAAGACAAAAACATGAGGGGAAGAGGCTCACATGGACACCATATTCAGTTGCAATGTTGCACTGCTCATAGTGGCGCCAGTTTTAGAGATGCTGCTGCAGCAAGGTTAGTGGGGAGTCCTCAGATGAGATAAGAACTGAAATTGTGACTTGGGAGAATGTAATAGACAGAAATTTGGACAGGTTATTCCTCACAAAAGCAAAGGGGAGATGCTCAGATATGAATGAATACTTGATGCACAGACGTGTGTGGCCTTGAGGAGGCTACATGGAATAGGCCTCTTTCATCACACCTGTTCTTAGACACACTAAGCTCACTGTCTTCATTTCCCTCATGGGGAGGAGATGGAGAATGCTCTTCCTGGGTGCCCATCTCTGTTGAGCAAGTCTGGGTGGTGCTGTGAAGTACAGCTGCCTCTCTGTGGCCACAGACCAGTTTAGGTTGGAGCACAAGGTCACGTCCACAGCTCATGCTGGGGACATCCCAGATCATGGGCTCATTCCCAGCCACTTTTCATCTTTCTCTTCTGCCCTGACAGTGATGTTTCTGTTCTCCTTGACTGAGTTCACTTTGGTCTGGGACCCATGTCTTAGGAAGTTTGGTCTGAAGATTTTTTGCCCCACAGTGCCACAGTCTGAAATGGCATTGAGCATTGAGCCTGGCAGTGGAGGAGATAGGGGACTGAGTCCGCCCAGTGCTCTGAAATTTAGGTGTGGAGCCTGAGACACATGTAGTGGGAACAATGTCTCACTGAAAAAGGAGGGAGCACGCGACTCAGGATGGTGATATATATGGACTATATATGGACTATATAGAGACAGACCCTACAGGCAGGAAGAGCTTAGGGACAGCATCATCTAGAACTGCTCAAGGCTTGTGTGCAGCCTAAAACTCAGAGATTTGTAGGATGTAGGACCCTTAAATCTCACTAGAGGACACTGGAAACACCTGGTGAGGAGCACCAGTGGTGTGCACATGTGGTCAAGACACACCTTGATGACATCAGCACATCCCCTCTTCATTTTATTCTTGGAAACTCATGGCCCTTTTTTGACATATTTACAAAACAGGTTTTTTTGGTGCTTGGCATCCCAGTATTTTGTCCAGGATGTGGAAGACTAGTGTATGATGATGCCCAGGGTGTAAGAGGCTCATAAAAGACCATTAGAGGAAAAACTCATTAGCCAAGACCTGGAACACATTGAATGATCCCTTCTGCTGGACTCTTCCCTCTTTTTTTCTACTCAGGATATGTGATGAGTGTTGTTAAAACACAGTGTCGAGTTCCCTGAAAGAGCTGGGATGTGAGAGGCAAATGCAGCACTTTGTTATAGAAACTACTGAAAGTAAAAAAACTTGTTAAATAAACTCATTTTTTATCAGTCTAGAGTGTGATTGTGTAGAGCTCTGAGATGGCAGATACAACAAATTATTCCCCTGACTACACAGGGTGATGTTTTTCAGGAGGGGGACAGGGTGCTGGTTTGGAGATGGGGTTGGAGGTGATGTCCAAGCAGTGGCTGTCCATGGGGACCCCCTTCACAGCATCTCCCCTGGAGCAGCAGCAGCTCCTGGGGAAGGTGATCCCCCCTTTGGCAGAGCCTGCCCCTGATGGTCAGATGCCCATCTCATGGGCAGCTCACCAAAGCACCACATCATCTGCCAGCCAGTGCAGTCCCGGTGCACTGCAAAGATGTGGGATGGGGGGACGTAAAGATAATAATTTGAGCAGTTCCTAAAACACCTGGTTTCAGCTTTGCATAAACTAGACCAGACAAGGCAGTTTCAGGCCAGTTCCACACTAGAGAGTTTTGCTGACAGAGGAGGGATGGGATTTTTTTTTTTAATGATACATTTATATTAGCAAAAAGTCTGGTGAAAACAGTTACACAGCTAGAAGAGTGCTTTTGCTGATGCAGCTTATTTGAAACAGGGGAAGCTGTATAAAGTACAATATAAGGCTCCTCTGTTGTGCTGGAAGCATTTAACAGGCACAAAGTTTCTAGACAAAACCCTTTGCCAATCATGTTCCTAGCTCTTTCCAGCTCATCTGCCCCCTTCCTAAAATATCTTCCAGGAAGCTGGTCCCATTTGCTAGGTAGGTTTTCTTCCAACACCTGGGAAACCTTTGGACTTTGCACTGGACTCATTTCCTAAGGCTCTATAATGCCCTAGACTGAAAGATGCTTCCCAGTGCACACCGTGAACTTCAGCAGCTGCTTCTCTGAGGCTTGTACCTCACATCTTGGAGTCTTTTTTCCAGGACACTTTGGCCATTGGGAAAGCAAGCCTTTCACATGTCCAAATCACCTTCTTGTGAGGTGGGGACAACCTACAAGCTGCGTGGTGTTAGGTGGGGATCTGTGCACCACTACAATCTGAACATTTTGTTGCCAGCAAAGACCTCAAAACACCTCTCTGCATAATAAATTCCAGCATAAAGTAGGAATATTCTTTGTTTTAATAGGTCTATCAGAAGGTTATTTCTGTTTTTCTCACCCATCAGAAGTGTACCTGTATCTCCCTAAACCTGTTTTTCCTACCAGTTCAGCAGCCTAGCTGAAGGCAACATCATTCCTGCTTTTCTGTGGGCAGTACGCTTTTCGTTGTCGTGGATAACTCGACTGCAGGGTTGAAAGCTCCTAATATCCTCATTCAATAGCCACTGCATGAAAAATTATTCACATCCAAGGCTGTAAAGTAATTTGCCAATGTGCAGGTGCATCTTGGAGAGGGGAATTTTGATCAAACACTGGTTTGAAGCAGAACAGATTGCCTACTCCAGTGATTTCTCAGTGAACAAAAGTGACATGAATTGCCCAATTAGTCAGCCAGAAAAGGGTTATTGCAAACCAGTGTTTTGTTCAGCTTTAGGTTAACCTGTGCATTAAAAAAAATAAATTAAATTTTAAAAAATTATTTCGATATTTACATATATTTATTCAAATTAGTTACATCTGCTCTGTAACGTGCTCTGAAAAAACCCTCTTGGTTCACACATTTACATAGTGTTTAATGAATCATAAATAAGACATTTATGAATCATGTGCAAATGGCCTGTTTACATACACGATGTAAACTATGTAAATTTCCTTTTTTTTCTTGGTGTAACGGTAGTAGTCTTTGAACAGAAACCTGATTGAGAGGCATCATTCAGCCCCCTCTGAGATCCTTCTGACAATCTTTTTTTTTTTCACCAATATTTTCTGGAGGTGTCCCATGGAGATCCCCACACTTGGTTTAAGGCCAAGTATAAATCATAGAATCATTTGGGTTGGGAGGGACCCTGAAGATCATCCAGTTCCAATTCCTGCTCTGGGCTGGCTCCAGCAGGTCCCAGTCCCTCCTGTGCTGGGAGCCCAGGGCTGGATGCAGTGCTCCAGGTGGGTCTCAGCAGAGCAGAGCAGAGGGGCAGAATCCCCTCCCTGCCCTGCTGCCCATGGGGCTCTGGATGCAGCCCAAGAAACCTTTGGTCCTGTGAGTGCACAGTGCTGGGTCACACTGAGCATCCTTGTTCAAAATACAATTATCCACTAGCAGAAAACATCCTGCTTTGGCAAGAAATACCACCTGCCTGAGCTATCTTATATATTAACAATCATATAAGTTAACTTTATATTTCAAAAAACAATTTAAGTTTCAAAACTTTGGGCTTATTTCAAATGAACTTTATAAATATATTAAAATCTCATCCAAACTTGTAGATACATGTCTCTGAGTGGGCATGAATGACAAATCTCCAGTTTACAGGCTGTGACTTCCGTTATATCCTGATTTTAAAAAGCTTATGTTAAACATTTTTTTTCCTGCAACTTATTTAGTATTGCGAGGGCTACTAACTTATGTTATTTTTCATTTGGACTTGGTTCCAATATACTATATTTATCACATTCCTCTTGGATTGCAGTCTGAGCAATGTTGTCATTTCATTTACTGCAAACTGACTGCAAAAATTGATCAGAAGAAGTTGATTTGGAAGACTTTGGTGCCTAGGTTTTAAGAGGCAGATAAAGATTTTATAAATAACCAAACCATTTTTGTTTGTTGTTTGCTGGTTTGGTTTTTTCCAAAATTTGCTGGATTATTCCCAAGTACTCATGTGAAGTCAGAGGCTGTTAAGTTTTTTCGAGCCAGCCACCTGAAAAGACTGGCAGCTTCTGAGATGTGTCACCTCGGTGAAGTCACCGCTCGTGTTGCATGTGATACTGAGCCACCTTGGCTTTTGCATCCCTCCTGAAATATGGTAAGCATCTCTTTATTTTGTTCCAGAAGACAGAAAACTCTTTGTGGGCATGCTCAATAAGCAGCAGTCGGAAGACGATGTGCGCAGGCTATTCGAGGCGTTTGGCAACATCGAGGAGTGCACAATCCTTCGGGGACCCGATGGCAACAGCAAAGGTAAGGCATGCCTTGTGCTGAGCTAGACCCTGCTCTTCATGTACATGTCATTTTCTGGTGTGACAAAAGTATCATGCAGCCCCCAGAAGAGCACCTCTTATTTAGGAGGGGGCACATTTCTACTCTGCTGGTCAGAGGAAAAAGCTGGTCACGTTGTAAAACACTCACCTCCAGTGGGCTATGGGTCACCACATGCAAACTGGTGCCTCCCCTCTGAACAGGGCCTTTACATTCGCTCAAGGTGTACTCTCCCCACTCCCTTGAACAGGATGACTCTTTCTTTAAAAAAAGCCAATATTGGTACTTTACCTCTTGGCTCACGGGCTCCATCATCGCCTCTGTTTGCCTCTCATCCACCAGCCCCAGGTCTTTCCCTTCTTCGCCTGCTCTTTGTATGGGCTCATACCAGCCAGTGATTGCAGCTGCAAGGGTACAGGTGCCAGTTAATATATTACACTCATTACACATTTACTGTTTGAAACACGTAAATACCTCATTGCAAAACTAGGTGCCTTTCCTCCTTTTGCCACTTTTTTTACCTGGATATCACAAAAAATCTTCTGCTACAGCCCAGGCATGAGAGTGAGGCTTCTTTCTGGTGCAGGAAGGTCATATTTTTCCACAAAAGTCTCCAGACTAAGTAACTTCAGTCTGAATAGGAAACCCTCTCCTCCTGGCAGTTAATGTGTCCATTAAATATTGATCTGCATATAATATAGCATAAACTATGTTGGCATGTGCAACACCAGAGAAGAGGCCAGTCCTGCAGACACTGTTCTTATCTCACTGGATATTTTGACAAGGGACAACATCAACCAGCACATTTTTGCAACAATGTCTTTCTCCAGTGCATCACTGCGATTTGGATATTTTTGCAAAAAAATCCAAATCGCTGTGATGCACTGGAGAAAGACATTGTTATCCCAAAAAAATCACTGGTGGCCAAAAAAATTACTTTACACCAGCCTCATAGCTGTCCAACACACATCAGCACAAATCAACCTTCTTGATATAAATGAAAATAAACTGTGGGCACCTTTTTTCAGTTTTGGGGTTACTTCATTTCCACAACACCCAAAAACAGGGGCTGGCCCACAGGGAAGTAATAGTCTAGGATGTCCTAGAGAAGCTCCAACCATCATAACAGCAGACAGTTAAGCATGTCATTCACTGAAAAAATCAGTAAATTGGGAAAAAGCAAAAAAAAACCATGTCAGGCTGCTTCCACCTGGAATGAAATCTAATGACAAAGGAGTTAAACAGTGTAATAATAAAGGCAATAAAGTCTGAGTTCTGTGAGAAACAAATTCCAGAGGACATCCAACCCACAGACTTGTCTTCATACTTGCTCTATCTCTTTTTTTTTCCTTCTAAAACAATTTCATTATAAGACAGAATCTGAGTGGCAGCTCCATATTGCTAACCAGTTTAATTATTAGTGCTAGCAGACTGCAGTCTCAGGCTGACGTTTCACTGAGCTGTTCAGGATCAATACTGAGCCTTGACAGAGTTAATATTACCAGCTTCCATTTGCTGGTGCTATTTACTGAGAATGTGAAGCTCCTAATTTACACACACACAGTTTCGTGCATGCACACATGCACACAGAACAGTCAATCCAATGGAAAACTTAAGGCTAGTGCCCTTATCTTAGGAGACAGTCAGGCAAGCCACAACTCCCACAAAGTTATTCCCAGTCTGTAATGTTTTCCATCTGCTAGAAACCAATATGTGACACACATTGCTTGTGAGCTACTTATTTTGGGTAAAACCCATAAGGCTTAAATTCTATGTAAGTTGAGATTTAAGCAGATTGTCTAAATTCCAGATAGCAGTCAGATCCCATGCACTTAAATCCTGCCCAGACCACCAGGTATCCCTGCGGTGAGCCTCTACACCCTTCAGGTAGCTCAGCGCAAGCACTGCTCTCAGAAGCTGGGTAGAGCTGGGTAGCAGCTCCCCAGTTTAATCCCATCACAGCCCAGGCATAACCAAAAAGCTGCCTAAACCTTTCCTGAAGCCGTGGGTGCTCTCCTGAGCCATGGGCCATGGCCTTCAGAGTCTGCAGAAATACCTCCTGCCTGAATTGCAGTGCTAGGAACAGTGGCTGGAGCAGGTAACCAAGTGGAAGAAGAGCTGGGACTGAGGAATTTCTCACCCTGAAGGGGAATGCAACACCTGGGTTCCCTGGGAGAGGATGAAGTGCTTCTGCACCACTCCAGGTAAAGCTCACCAGGGTCCAGGCAGGAGTTCTCAGGTGAGGGACCTGAAGTGGATCCAGAAGGCCCCACAGAGTCTTCATTGCTGCTGCTGCTCTCTGTGCAGCTATTCTTTTTCCCTATTTTTTTCCCATTCAGCAGTCTGCCTCAATAATGCAAAAAGTAAAAACTTCCAACACCACCCTCCACAAGAAAAGCCTTACCCTGTGCAATTACAATCCTAGGGCCTGATTCTGCAGTCTCCTCCAAGCTGCCAAAACAATCAGAGCAGCCCTTCCAGCCCTAGCCTGGAAGCAAAGGAACAAGAAAACCTTAAGCACATGTATCACCCTGTTCAGCAGAGGTTATATCTCTGTGTGTGTCAAAATCCCTTCACACTCCAGAGCTGCTCCTGTCAAAAGGACACCATTGTTCTGAGGAGAGTGACATGACTCACATCCTCTGTTCACCCACTCCTGGAGGCAGTTCTGGTGACAATGGGAAGGAAGATTATGTGCACTTCTGGTGTTGTGTACAGAAGCCATCTGATTGAATGCACAAACAAAAAGGACAAAATGTTGGGATCTGTGCTATTGCCTTGCCATTTACACCAGTAAAAGCTGAGTTTTCACTCATCTTGCTACCTCAAAACCTACTGGAAGCAGTTAATAGAAAGCAGTAGGAGGGATCCCATTAGCATCCTGAGCATTAAACAAGATAAATGCCTGCTACTCCCTTTATTCCCACCTTTATCCAGCTCCACTGATCCATCAGGACCCTCAGCACAGGGGTGAATTTCACCTGACAAGAGTGAAGCCTTCAACATGACAGCAGCACCACAGCCAAAAATCCTGCTCTAAATTAAATTGGTGACTGGAACAGGAAAGCTTTTGTATATTTGCTAATCAGCATCTTCTTTTTAGAGGCAGAAAGTACAAAAGAATCTCTGCAAATAATTAAACACCCTAATTCTGGATTATCTCTGATTACTGAAGAGGAAGACGCAGTATCTCAGGAGCCTGGGAATGCTGGGCTGGGATTATGTCATAATTGATCCCTATTGTTTCCAGCTGAAGTTTATCTATCTCATTTTCTCATGATTGTCTCTTCTCAGCTCCTTATAAATTAGATCCAACTATTAGCAATAATCATTGGGCCTTTCCTGAAATGCAGCCTGAGCACAGTGCTGAGAGGGTGACGCAAAGTGAACAGCCCTCAAAATGAACTGTAAGATATTTTATATGTGTATATTATTTTTAGAACAGGCTATCACTGCTTTCTTCAATCTCACTTCTATCAGCCTGCAGTGATGATTTTAGGGACCTTTGGGGTTCATTCTTCTACTTTGCATCTCTTCTAATTTCACCCTGTGCTGTAGGGATCCAAAAGGGTGTGAAGACTTTCTAAACTTGCTGCAAAGGGGCTGGAGAGCCATCCCACTGTCAGGACTGGCATCCTGTGCCCTGCAATCTGCACCCCTTCAGGGAAACCGAGAGGGCTTTGCAAATTGATTAAAAGCTCAAAAGTCGTTGGTAGTAATAGAAGAGGATGGAAGCCAAAACTTCTCAGATCTCTCCCAATCTGTTCCAGAAACTGCCTTAGCATATGGAAATTACCCTTCCCATCTCTGAGTCAGTTTGCTTGTAGCTGGGAGTGTTGGCAATACTTCCCCCCACTCTAGAAGTGCATGTAACCCTTTGAAGTGTTGATCATTTCTGCACTCCAGCACAAACCCATAAATGCACCTTGCTGCCCTAAAACCTTATGTAAGAGTTTGGTGTGAGATTCCCCACACAGCAATACAGGCCAGAGAAACGCTGCCCACATTTCTCTAATGTCCAGAAGAGAACACCTACACAGGCACTGACTTTGCAGCTATGAAAAACTTAAGATTCAAGTTTCAGTGGTGGCAGGATGGTAATCAACACATGGGTACCTCTCCCACCCCTGCTACTTCACCAGAAGGTGTCTCATGCTTTGCCAGACCTAAGTGGCTTGGAGCCAAGACAAGCTCTGGGCAGTCTGTCACAGAGCTCTACCAAGCAGTGAAATCATAAGGTACCTTGTGGGTTTGGAGTAACTTGAATACCTTCTGTACATTTGTCCTGTGCTTGCTTGTGTTAAGAATGTGCGGCTTTCCAGTGACTCGCACATGCTTCCATGCTGTTTCTCACAACCACAGAGGGAGGAACGCCCATCATTAGATCTAATATCAATAAAAGAAACAGCTTTTTCACTCAATAAATTGTAAAACTGTGCAAGATTCTGCCATGGAAAGCTGTGGATGTCAAAACATGACTGGATCCAAGATGTTCTTGCTAAGTTTGTGTCTGTCAGTACTTATTACAATTAATGTGGGGATTCTGGAAGCAGCTTAGCCTTAAGAGGTCCTCAGGCTGCCGATGTCTGGACTCTGGAAAAGGACCAGGACTGTGACAGTGTTCACAGGGGTTCTTGGATGAGGGAAGAGACAAGCATCTGACTCCATGTTTCAGAAGGCTTGATTTAGTCTTTTATTATATACATTACATTAAAACTGTACTAGAAGAATAGAAGAAAAAGATCTCATCAGAAGGCTAGTTAAGCTAAGAATAGAAAGGAATGATAACAAAGGTTTGTGGCTCAGGCTCTGTGTCCAAGCCAGCTGGGCTGTGATTGGCCATTAATTACAAACAACCACATGAGACCAGTCACAGATGCACCTGTTGCATTCCACAGCAGCTGATAATCATTGTTTACATTTTGTTCCTGAGGCCTCTCAACTTCTCAGGAGGAAAAATCCTAAGGAAAGGATTTTTCATGAAAAGATGTCTGCGACACAGGAGACTTTTTTTTTTTCTTATTCCTTCTTCACAGCCATACTATTGGTGAGTTCTGAGGACAGGATACTTAGCTAGATGGAATTTCACGATGCCCATGCAAACTTTCTTATGCTCTTCTTTTTCCTCTTCCAGGGTGTGCATTTGTGAAATACTCTTCACATGCAGAGGCCCAAGCTGCCATCAATGCCTTGCATGGCAGCCAGACAATGCCGGTGAGTAGCTCCGTCACACGGGCAAGTGACAATTGGGCCAGCCCTGGCTGCCCTGATTGAGGAGGAGAAATTATTTATCTGTGCTCTGCAACTCATCATCCAGGAAGGCCCAGGGCCTTGGGTATGCTTAACTCACCAGAGGAAAGGCTGGGATGGCATTGTCATTCCTCACAGGCACAGAACCCCAATGGGTGCTGTGTTCTGTCACCAGCAGTTTTGATGGCCTGAAAAAAAGACATGTAGTTCACACATGCCAAAAAGGTTTGGGTCAGACTCGCCGTGGGCACAACCTCTCAATTTTCAGAGGGATGAATTAAGTAAAAACTGGTGCCTAATGGTTTTTTTCATTTTCCCTCCTCTGAGAGCGCCTGTCTCTAGGCAAAGGATAAAGAACTTTTTGCCAGCTCTCAGCAGAGAGAAGCACATTCACATCATGGTAGTGGGGGCTAGAGACAAATCATGGCAGTGATGGGTGCCTGTCTCTGTTACCAAAAAAGTACCAACCTGGGCATAGGTCTGGTCCCCTTCACCTGCCCCTTGAAAGGTGTCAGACCTTGGTGTCAGACCAATTACTGCATCTTCCTGGAAATATCTGAGGGATCAGTCCACTTGCACAAATTTCTAGTCATATGGGGTTTCAAGACTGATTGTTCAATTAAACAAAACTGGGGATGTATTTCAATGCAAATAGATATCTGTGCACCACCATGAGACAGAGAAGGATATAAGGCATTCCACTGTCAGTAGGAGAAGAAAATCTGGAACAAGTTGTTTTGGTTTATTATAATAGTGTATTATTTTTATTACTAATTATTCACAGTGTAAATCATGGAAGGCTAAGAAGCATGTTGACAGCTTGGAAAGGATACAAGAAAGCTCAATTAAAAATATTTGAGAGTGTAAAATCTCCCTTTCAGTAAGAGACTCTAATGTAAATTCATGAATTTATCCAAATAAGTTTAAAGTGGGCCCGACAGATTTTCTCTAGATCTTTGCAGGGATGAAAAAGGAAAATTCTTTACAAGCAAAAAGGTTTCTAAAACTAGCAAATTATCAAGATCTCATTTTTTGGAACCCCATCTTAGACAAATCAGTTTAAAAATGGTACATGTTTACCAGTGACGGTACCAAAAAAAGTCTCCTCAAATATGGGGTCTCCATTTTTTGAAGTACGTAAATACTTTTAAGAGTCTCTTCCTAAAAGGCTCCTCCTAAAAAAACCACAGACATTGGGCTTGATGCTGACATCCCATACTGATATAATATGGGCACCTTTCCTGAGACAGGTTAAAGAGGTACTTTTAGTGACATTCTTTCAAACTTTGACCTAAAGTGATAGAGTCTATAAGCTGACATCAAGAATTTCAATTCAGTAGGGTGTGGTACCACAAAAAGGTTTAGTAAAAAGTCAGTCCTCATCCCAAAAACTCTGCAAATTCCTGTGACAAAGGCAAGAGGAAGACATGAAAAAACAGACAAAACCCAAGGAGAGTTAAAGATTTTGTCTAGATATCGTATACCCAAAATATCTATATTAAATCAAATATCATTATTCCTCCCCAGGCCTTTCCCTTCCTACTTTCCCAACACTTTGGATTAGAAAAACATACTCATCTCACATCTACCTGGCAACAACTTATGACTCCATCCTGGTGGTATCACCTGAACTTAGGATACACAAAACACATGAGAATTTGACCACTTCATGGATCAATTTTATGGGACCATTTGTCCTCTTGACCTATCTGACTCAAACATCTCTTACAGAAATATTCTTTAATAACCAGAGCTGGGCATCTGAAAAAGCAACACAATTTATCCTTTACTAGATGGCCATCCCAGACTCAGAATCAGGTTCTCACAGCTTCACAAGTTTCCACAGATTGGCTGAACCTCACAATACAGACTCATAGTTCACAGAAAAAGCAAGGAGGAAATTAATTTCATGATAAGCTAAGTTACATGGCATTGCCTTGCGTCTCCCACGAGCTACAAGCAGCCACAACAATGCCACCTGTGAGGGCCTGCAGAGTGACCAACACTCAATGAAGACGTGGAGCACAACAGGTTTTTCCCCACAGTGTCTCAAAATTTCTAAGGCTCTTTGAAGGAGATAGGCCAAATCCTGCCAGGATCTCAGTGCCCATTCTTGTTTTCATGGCACTTTGGGGCCTGCAGCATCACTCAGGACTTATTTGGATGTTCACAGGGAAATGCAGCCACCTCGTGGTGATATGCAGACGCAGCCCATCGTGCTTGGGAAGGAGGGGGGCATCTCTGCCATCTTCCTTCAGCCCCCTTCCATTCCTCTCGCCACCAGGACTGGCCTCCTTTGCCCAGCTGTGATGCCAGCTCAACGTTGTTGCTGTGGCTCAGCCAATTTTCAGCATCTCCTGGTTTGTCCTCGTGTACCACCAGCAGGGCATCCATCATCATTCCTGTCAGGTCTCGGGCCGCTCGTTCCTGCGGCAGACTCCTGTTTCTCCACAGCTGTCAGGATTATTGCTCTGCTGTGACTTCCTGTTCACACAACATATGTTGCCTAATAGTTTCAAAAGGCAACTTTCTTTTATGAAAGTTCCTTTCTTTTTTTTTTTTTTTTTTTTTAATTAACCTTACCTTGGACAAGTGCCTGACCATCAGCCATTACAAACCCATTTCTCTGTGCAAGGCACTTGTTTCTCCTAAGGGTCCACCAAGTCTAAATCTTTCCAATTTTTACACAATCCATTTCCTTTAGAAATAAACTACCCAAAATCCCCTACTTTTGAGCAGGCAGAAAGTTCCTTCTATACCCACCTACCAAGAGAGCTTCCTTTTTGTCTTTTTAGATCATATTTTCTATTAGCTCATCAACTTTATGAGACTGTTTTACTGGACATCTGTATCATCCTTTATAAGAGACCAAAATCTTCATGTACTTTTGCTTGTATTTGTAACATATTTACAGTAATTATATGTCCTGTACTTTTAGTTTTGATTACTCCTTCCCTCCTGTCTCTGTTTCCCATCCATATGGGGACATAAACAGGTCCCTTCCTATCTTTCTCTTCTCTTCCTATTCCAAGTCTTGTCCCTAACAGCCTTTTCCACCAACACAAATTCAGCTGCTATTGCTGTAGTGACAGCTTGCAGAACTAATTTCTCTGCTTCAGGGCTGACTCCTGTCCAACCCAAAATCTTGGTCTGTCTTTCCATCTCCTGGTGGATGTTTAGCTGTCAGAACAAGCTCAATATGTATAAAACTGAGCTCTTGAACTTTTCCACCCAAAACCTGTCTTTTCTATCCTCCACCTTCATTCTCAATCACTGTGGACAATATTATCATTCTACCTGTCAGTCATGCTCTTCCTAGGCATCCTCCTCAGCCTGGTTTTCTCCTTCTCCCCATGTCTTCATATCTGGACAACAGCCAAATTGCACAAGAGTCATTCTGCAGAACACATTAGTAATCTAAGATGTGGCCTTGTCCATCCACCCACACAGAACAAACTCTTCCCAAAACTTCATTGAAGTATCATAAAATAGAAAGATCATCTACATGTCCATTAGCAGGAGTAGAGACACTTCCAACTGCACCAGGTTGGTCAAGGCCTTATCCAAGCAGGCCTTGGTCACTGCCAGGGATGGAGCACCCACAGCTCTTCTCTGGGCAGCAGGCCCTACTGCCTCACCACTCTCACAGTAACAATTCTTTTCCTAACAGCTGACCTAAGCCTGCCCTCTTTCAGTCTGAAGCTATTCCCCTCTCTCCTGTCACTCCAGACCCTTGTCAAAAGCCCCTCTTCAGCTCTCTTGTAGCCCTTTAGGCACAGGAAGATGCTGTAAAGTCTCCCTGGAGCCTTCTCTTCTCCACCCTGAGCAACACCAACTCTCTCAGCCTGTCTTCACAGGAGAGGTGCCCAAGCCCTCTGAGCATCTTTGTGGTCTCCTCTGGACTCGATCCAACAGCTCCTTCTTATGTTTGGGCCCCCAGATCAGGATGCAGCACTGCAGGAGGGATCTCAAGAGAGTGGAGTAGAGAGCAGAATCACACACATTTCAGTCACAGCAGCTATCCTGCCCAGAAGATACACAGGGTTAAAAGATAGAGTATTTTTGCACCCTTTTCACCATCTTGCCCACTGAGGCAACTCAGAATTTCTTTGGTTATAAATTCATTCCTGGGAGGGGTAGAATGGTACTGTTACTGTGCACATTTCCTGCACAGGGGTGAGAAGAAGTGAAGAGTGTGATGTGCTTGGCTTATCTTTAACTATCCAAAAGTTTGTCACCTATTCTAAATATCTTCTAGGATTCCTGCAGAAAGGCGAGAGAGACATTTCCAGAGATTTGTACATTCTTCATTTTTTTCTGTGCTAGGATGGGCAATATCACCTTCTGGGCATGCCTGTCCCATTATAATGGATAACTCAATAACAGGCTTAGACTGAATACCTGAGGTGGGACTCATCAAACCTAATTTGAGACATCCAGAAGTTAAGAAACTCGTGTCTGAGGTTGTCATCTAACTTTGTCATCTAAGTTTCTCTTATAATCAATAGAGGAAAATAGATACCTCTGGAGAAATTTTATTTTAGAGAAATAGATTTTGAAACCTGTCAAACTAATAGGCAAGCCCAAATAGAAGTGTGCTTTTTAGCTAATTTTAGGCATCAATTTGCTGTGGTACTCCAGCTCCAAAATAGTGGTTCTTCATCCAAAGGGCAACTTAGAATGAAAAAAGGACCAGAATGCAAAAAAGGACCAGTGCTTAAAAACTAAAGACAAAGCCAGTGCAGCTTAAAGTGAACACTTCACATTCAGTGCTGGGAGACCTGAAATCTGTCCTAGATGTTTGTTGCCCAGATAAAGTAATTTGGGATTCAGAAACCAGGCATCCTGCAGCAGAGTCCCCTGACTCCTGTTCCATTAGATGTGCTGTGAACTTGCTTAACACACTAATTGTCAGCACTATCTTCATTCCATATCTTTATTTAATTAATGGTGTTCAAGGCAAT